ACAATCAGGTTGTTAATGCCTTGATTAAAGAAATCACTTGGAAGGAAAAAAACATATCGATTTCCTCTTTAACACCTGTTATATGTGCATACTGTGACGGATTTATTATTATACATTTATTTTGATATCGATGTTTGTTTAAATGAAATTTATATTTAAAAATGTACATAATTTATACTGCTAAATATGTATTGTGAAACTCTCGCCTATTCTCTAAAGTTGTAGAAGATTCTCGAGTGTAAGTATTGTGTAATTGTTTTCGTTTTCCAGTGTGAATTGTTAGTCTCTATGTAAGTTGTTTATGTGTTGGAGGAATCTTGTTTGTTCGTCTTGACAAGTAAAGCCGCAAAAAAAAACAACAACAAACGCCATCTACATATCTAAGCCAAAAGAAAAGCGTAGCCAAAGTACTTGGTGATGGATTCCCCATGGCAAGTCCGTGTAACTGAAGGAAGTACGAATCTCTGTAGGGAAAACAACTAAATGTGGCTAGTTGTAACAACTCGATTAAGCGTTCCTGTTTCATGTTGATTCTCTTTTTGGGGTCTAGTGAAACAATTGTGAGTTGTATTACCTCATGATAAGGGGTTTGAGGGAATAGGTTTACGACATCAAAGTCATAATGACGTTGCTGTCTAAACTGTGTAATTGTTGTAGAAGGTGTGAAGTGTTTTTTTAATTAGGTATTTATTTTGAAACATAAGGTTCTAAAATTCAGTTAAAGTATTTACCAAGGTTGTAGTTTAAAAAGTTATAAGAAGATATAAGTGGACGTAAGGTAATTGGGTTTTTATGGACTTTTGGTAAACTGTAAATGTTTGATATTCTAAGTTGGTTTGTATGCAAAAAATGATAAAGCTTAAAGGTAATTGTATTTTATTTGTATAACATTTTGAGTAGTTTGCTCATTTTATTGTTGTATGTTGGGTTAAAATCAGTATTTTACTGAGTAAACTTAGACCTATCATTCAATATATTTACCATTAATGAGTCATACTGTTTGGTTTTTAAAATCACGCTCGAGTTTCCTTTATCGGCACTTTGAATGAGAATGTCTTCATTGTTCCTAAGAAGTTTTAGGTCTTTTCTTTCCGCTTAAAACTTGTGCACTTGAGAATAATCGCACCAGTGATCGAAACGTCATACCTGTTCTACATACAAATCTTACTTACTGTAAAAGCTGTAACTTGTAATAAAATAAACTTATTTGCAGTTTAAAGAAAAACTTTGAAAATCACTATCGAAATTTATTTCTAGTGATATATGTATAGGTATCTGACATTAGTTTAGGCCTTTTTCTTTTTTCTTTTTTGTTTATTAAAAATGAGTTTCAAGTGTTTTAGTCATGACGCTCGGTTTAAATAACCAGAACGTAATATTTTAATACATTTATTGGCAAAGTCTCAGCCCCCGTATTATTTCTATTTTGTCACAGGTAAACATTATGAGAGCACATTATTCAACATATATTATAGAAAATAGGTTCAATACAGTGTACCATTCCATTATATATATATATATATATATATATATATA